GGAATACTGCATGGACCTCTAGGAAGAACAGTTTAGAACTGATCAAGCTATCCGGTATAAATAAAGTTAGTTTAGTTTAGGTTTCCTTAATATAGGGATAGATCTTTGGAGAGAACACTTTAGAACTGATCGAGCTATCCAGTATAAGAGCGATTTATTCATTGTAAGATATGACACAATCAGTAAAGGTGACAAAAATCCTCCTCTTCAAGATTAATATGCTAGGTTCCGATGCCCTTAGTGAAGTAATTTTGACAATGTCCTTCCGTGAACTTATTTCGTTTATCAACCTAAATTTCTGACAAAAGCGTGTTTGTATTCTATATCTATTTAGAAATGCATTTCCATATGTCTTACTTTCATATATATAAACCATTAATAAAACTGACAATGCTTTTCCTCTGAGCCTATATTTATCAACCTAAATCAGGGGGGGGCTCATGGGGGGTTCATTTCAGTTTGGGGGGCATTATAATGCACAACCTGTCACCAAAACGATCTGAAATACGTACAGCTATACTGTATTATATTTCTTGGGGGGCATTATATATATTTTTTTTTTGGGGGGGGGGCACCTTGTATACAACATACATGTATTAATGAACCTGCATGTATTTCTTCATTATAAATATCTTATATAACGAAGTTGGAAAGGAATGAATTAAAGCAGGAAAAATGACAATTATAGATTGTAACACTTCATTAGAAAGTTCTTAATTAAATCATTGTTCTTGAAAAGATAAAATATTAAAATTCTAATGAAGGCTACGTTCAATTAATCTTCCATAATTATATACATGTCGATTTAAATAATGACTCTTTTCAATCAAATGCCACTGAATCACTGCAAAGCGTACTTGAAAATGTCAGAAATCTACACAGAAATATTTTTATCAGCATATATAGAATTCACGACAAAAATATAATTGCCACATTATTGTTGAAGAACGATAAAATTTGATATGTCGAAGTCGAAGACAAGAATTCAACATATATAAAATCAATTTTTACAAGAATATTAGGGGAATGAATATAAACTGTATATAACTTTTTATAAGAATACTTCCATTCCTAGGAGTTACTATCGCAAGGAGAGTGCTGCCTTGCCCCAAAGGGATCAAAAGCATGCACAATTTGTTGAATAAGGGGCTGTTTATATATGATCCCAATTTGCCCGGACAAGATGCGAGGCGGGATTATTTTGATGTATTGAAATAAGCTATGGTGCACATTCAGCAAAAAACTACATTATTTTCTAGAGATAGATTATAGTTGACTGTAAACGTAAGGTTGTTCAAGCAGCAATAATAATCTTCTTGGACTACAAGATCTTCTCCGCAACATTTGAGTTCTGTTAACAAGCATTTGAACTTTTGTTTAGCCTAGTGACTTATTTCAATACATGTAAACAGCGTCGTCGTTTGTTTCAGAATTAAGAAAAATAAGAACTGATAGAAATACATTAAAATAGGATATAGAAAGAATTAATTATAAAATAGGAGAAATAAGGGCATGAATTAAATTGGAACACAAATTAAAACTACGACATATCACACATGCATTAATCACAGGAAAACATTAACGACAAGCCAAAGTAAATAAAACATTAGTTATATTGTAATAGATTAAAATCGTATATGAATATAATGAATTTCAGAATGGTTTAATTAAAGTGAAAATATTCATAGATCACACACTCGAAGGTGAAATAATAATTAAATTCCATTCAATCTCAGTTGTGCAATTAATGATAAAAGTATACGACTTCATTTTGGACAATCGTATACGAATAAGACAAAATTATAATCTTTTCCAAGTATCAATACGTTTTGGAAAATATTGAGTATAATAATTTGCTGCTAAAGTGAATTTGTAATCTTCGATTTAATCAGTTGTAATAAAGGTATATGTAAATGCATATACATTTAGGTTAATCTTATATGAATAATAATACAAAATTATATAATCCTTTCCAAGTGTGCTTATAGGAAAATATACTATAGCTATATAGAGAATAATTTATACAGCAAGCCGATTTTAATCTCCTATGCAATTTTGATTTTCTGAAGTACTTATACGAAAATCTGTTGGTTGTGAATTTGAGTCGCTGATGTACAAACCGAAACGCCAGAAAATTTTTATTTTTTCCTGTTGTGTCTTGTTTGAAAGTGCCGGGGCTTTTATGTTTATCTTATAATAAATAATAATGTCATTTATTTAATATCAACGTACATTCAACTGCTGCTAACATTTCCTATGGGAGGAAACCACAGGTGTTTATACTCATCTTGTATGTACTCATCTATCAATAAGCCCACGATAACGTCGAAGAAATTCTTGTCCGCCCCCCGAAGGAAACCGAAGTATCTTTAGAAAACTCATTGTATCTTTAGAAAATTAATTTAAGCCTGATTTCCATGTAAAACAGAGTCACGATCTTTCTCAACGGTCAGTTTATAATAGTTTACAGCTGAAACCACATTTAAATCATAAGTATTCTCTAGTTATAATCACTCCGCGTATTTTCAGTTCTAAAATGTTGTATTTCGGCTGATGAGAAAGATCGTGACTCAATCTTTACGACCGTCTGGAACCAGGCTGAAGCATTGACTCAGTTCACGCTGGCCTGATGACATTGCCATTCAATCTCTCGTGCATTCAGTTTGGGCACTGCACAACCACTTATTTTGAACTAGTTGGGGGGTAAATTTGTGCCGAACCCTCACAATTACAGTGTGGTTATTGTGATGTGGAAACAATGACTTGAACGCAAGTAACAGCGAGAAATGCAAAATGAGATTTATTTAACCGCATGTCAATGGCGTTGTGATTACTTCGACACGGGAGAATCTTTTGGTATAAAACACATTAGCTCGTCAAAGAAAATTTAAATTTTACTTTTAGCATGCACAAGCATTTTATAGAATAAGTTAAAACTGAAAGCATTTTCTTTTTTCATAATTATAACTGTGTCTATAAGTCATCACAGAAAATAGCAATGACATGCATGTATAACATATATAACCACAATGAATGTAATTATAAATCTCGATCGATGCCGCAAGAATAATAATCGTTTAATACAAGGGCAAAAACCGAGTTTATCGACTGAAAAATAATGATCTAAAATAAACTGCTATATATTAAAAATAAATAAATATGAGCGCCTGTTGTCTATAGGTTTAATAAAAATATGAGACAAAAATCTTGTGAAATTACTTCAGGATAAAATTGGAGTACGATAGCGGAGGACTCTTACTGCATGGACCTCTAGGGAGAACAGTTTAGAACTGATAGAGCTATCCAGTATAAATAAAGTTAGTTTAGGTTTCCTCCTGTAGTAACACTGGATCAATAAAAGATGATCCTTATATACTGGTTCTCTATAGGGAGAACAGTTTAGAACTGATAGAGCTATCCAGTATAAATAAAGTTAGTTTAGGTTTCCTCCTGTAGTAACACTGGATCAATAAAAGATGATCCTTACTGGTTCTCTAGGGAGAACAGTTTAGAACTGATAAAGCTATCCATGCAGTATAAATAATAAAGTTAGCCAGAAGGTTTTGCTACGATTTCTAATGCAATTTTCCTCTTCTGGCTCATGTGAACGAGCAGATGAAGTTCAGAGTACATCGTCATCTGAACATTCATATCTCATCCATTCGTTTATACCCATCGTTCACAGCCCAAAATCTCGTGGTCGTGATGACCGCGCGGGTATGAAGGCGCCTGGGCACGAGTGAGCGTAATACGCTTGTTGACGAGCAGTAATATTAGGAAATTACGAGTGCGGGTCATGAGAAAAAATACTTAATTAAAATTTCTGCGTCCTTATTGTGAAGTTATCAACACGTCGTAAATTAATTATCAAACACTGAACCACCCGTCGCCTTGGTATTGCAATCAACTCGTGAGTAAATGAAAGCATTGCAGGCGAAAAGAAAGGCTGAATACAAAGACTGACACACCTCTATTAAAATCCCTACGGAAATTGCTGCAAACCATTTCCATATAGTAACAATCCTAAACCGTACAGTTGACTTATAGCCTAATTTGAACATGGCATTACTCAAATTACCCACTTAAATATTATTTTTTTACGACTGTACAATCCTATTTCAAAATCTACTGTACACATAACACATTCGGGTCGTTGGAGTCAGACTGATGGTTTAATACTATATACCTCGAGTTAATTGAGTTGAACGTTCAAAGTTGTGTTATATTTGCTAGTAAAACCATTCCAAGACTAAACACTATAGCATTCTTAATAAAGTTACACCTATGGTTATATAGTAGACAACTCGATAAATATTCACTGAATAACACGTAAAGCTATTTATTAATGGCACTAAACTAGAATAAATGAAAGTCTGAATTAAACATTTTCGAATTGTGTGCGTTCTGTTTAAAAGAAACTTTCTATATCATAAATACAGGAACAATATAAAATTCCCATCAAACTAGCGCCCTATAAAGCAAAAGCAATACGCACTTTTGGCCATTATAACAAAAATTTAATATTAAAGAAAATCTACTACATATATACGCACCGACAATAAACGCCCTTACTGCTGTTACAAGCTGGTCATAATAGCGTAATATATATTATAATTATATTCGTTATTATATACAATAGTGTCTATGCTATAGGAGTGTACTTCCCTTTTCTCTTAGTTTATGCTAAAAATACATGGTGTATAATAAAAAAATTGGAGGATTTCCGCCTGAAGGAAAGTTCTACAAAACTCGAGGGGCACAAAGCATAATAAATTCATCATTTCGACTGGTATAAGAATGTGGCGCGATTGAATTATAAAGCACGCAATTGAACAAAAACTTCGGTATAACAACTCACAATCCCAGATTGGCAGAAGACAAGTTGGCTTCAAATATACAATATGCCCAAACGCGTACTAGCGTGGCGAATATTCTATGACTATAAGTCCTCTTAGACAACATATAGACAATATATAAATATAGCATATATTATAGGTATTACTTACTATTCGTTGAATCCATACAGACACCTCTCTTTCAGCGTGTAAGAATTCAAGCCAATAAACACCTAAAAATATCAAAGAAAATCTGTAAGACTACAGAGTTCGTTCACAGCGAACCAAATGAATTGAAGGAAAATATATAAATTGTATATAAATGGACAATTTCGTAATGAACTTATATATGCATATACACGCATGTATCACGAAACGAAAAAGTTTAGTTATAAATATCAAATATAGTATAGTAATTTGAAAGTCGTCTTAAAACGCAGTGTCAATTTAAAACCTTACCTTACAATTAAATACCTCGTCTGTCTTTTGTCTTGTATTTTGAGTCGGTGAGCCACCGTAGATTACAAGATATAAACACTATTGTTCCGGCCTACTGTATCTCGAATCGAAATCCAAAATAAAAACAGGTCAAAGTCTGGGCAGTGTTCTTCGCCTCTCGATCGGCGTAAGGTTATTGCGGAGTTTAATATCAACTTTGGCGAGCTACTAGGATTAATTTGAATCCTTCCTCGTTATCTATACGCGCTTGTCAACTCGTGGATATGAAGTGAAGTGGGTAATTAGTTTTTATATTAATATCGCATATGACCGGCACAGCTCATTAAAACGCGAGTGCAATTTTCCACCGAATTTAATTACAGCACCGGAGAATGCCTATATATATATTTCACCTCCGGTGAACACCAATCAATTAACAATATGGGTTCCAAAAGCAATTGTTGGCCTTATATTTTTCTCTACGAAACTTTAATGTGTGTCGCCACGGGAGACTGCCTAAACATTAGTATATTGAAGCGCGGGAATTTATTTAAGTTATACTAAAGGGGAATTTTATATATTTCAGCTAGACTTATATGTACTGTTGCCTCAACACACAGCGACGCGTTTATATTATGCACGATGGATACAGGCATTCTAATCTCGCGGATTACGGATGATTATAAATGTAATGTATTCATGCTATTGGAAATGTTGTTATTAGGTTTCTATCAATTTTATGACCGGACAGCTAATTAAAAATCAACATTTGCCAGTCACAACTAATTGAGACACGAAATGGGTACCAGTAAGAACTGTATTCACACCAGGACTCTTTCGAATTCTCCCATAAAGTATGCGCGAATGATTATGGACTTTCTCACTGGTTGGTGAGCGGAGGAAATCCAAGCTAGTCTAACCATTTACCGATGTCAATGTAGAGGTAGCTCTTTCTCCTCAGATATTTTAAGACCTTGACTAGAGGTCCGAATGAGGACTGAACCCAGATCTCCCAGCTTGAAACTGCACTAAGGCAAGCGTGATGACATTCTGCTGGTCTAATTGGAAACGCTCTCCAACCGTGTGTCTCAAAAGGCAAAACGTTTCACAGGTTGCAGAGATCCCGCTTTCTCGTGTCTATACCCAACTGTATTTTAAAATGTTTAACCAGGGTTTGAGAATTCCTTGGTAAGAGCTTGGAAATTCCTTAGTTTCCTCCGAAATTCTCAGTTCAACCATTTAATTTTCTGTGCTTAAATAGAAGTGCTTAAATAAAAGTCATATATTTATGACTCCGTAAATCAACTAGGCAACAGCTTGGAAATTGTGCAATTCGCAAAATAATCGCACTTTTATATTAATATAAGTTATATAACGCAAAACAACTAAGATCAGTGAATCAAACTAATATGCCAATGTGATTTTATATTTTGGTGGGGAAATTTTTTTGCTCTCGAAAACGCTAATTCCTGCCCCTCTGATATAGGCGGTTATGACTATCTAAATATTCATACTAAGGTCGAACTTGGAATCTATTCAAAAATACTTCAGATTTGCATGAAAACATACAACTATGAAAAATTCCTATTTTTAAGGAAAAATTCTTAAAAGCAACAGCCGATGTCTTGAAAGATTTTGAACCAAAATTTTCGAGTCCAGGTTTTCGTACGGTCCAAAACCCAAATTTGTGTATTTTCCGCGTTTATGCACGTATAATTGGCGCAACGTGCCGAAATGCATGAGAGAGTTTAAATCGAAATTTAGCTAAAACGTGAAACGGTAGAGGCCCAAATATCGAGCACATTTTGTAAACAATCAATTATTAGTTTTACAAATGCGTGAAATAATATAACAAAGACGGTGCGTCTGCGTCCAAAAAGGTTTAATAGGATTAGTTTTGTATTGATGACAATACAGGGGTGTCTGTCTATATATAAACATCGAAATAAACATGCCCTACAAACGCGATAATTAATTTTTGTTTTCTATTTCGACGTCTTTCCGTCGTTGTCGCTGATTGCAAAATGCATGAATAAGTTCTGTATGGGAAGAAATTAATTTTTTTGTTTTGGCCGAGTTGAAAAATCCTCATTAGCGCCATGATACGTAGTTAAGGCGATCTGAGCTTACAAATGGGAAGATTTGTCAAATAAATAAACACGCATTGTGTTTGTCACAAAGCAAAATAATTGGAAAATATATTTTCGTTCTTGCGATATATAATGATTCTTGTATATAGTCACGAGACTCGCGGCTATAAATATATATTCCTTAAATTAATTAATAAAACTCGTTCGTTATAAATTTCGTTCAAAAAAAAGCACATGCAAATGTCAAATATACTTTTTTTTTAATAGTCACTTGACAACCGTATGGCCAACAAAACATAAGACTCTAATTAAGTCAAAACACTTTGTGTTTCTATACAAGTTCTGTGAAGCCTTATATTGGGTTAATTTTAAGATCAAGTGCTTTGCGTTAATGAATTAATGTAATATATGTGTTGACATATTGTCGTTCTTTGCTTATATAAAAGCAAATGTCAAATTAGCCTCAGCTCAGACTCAGATCAAATTGCAAATTTTGCTTTGCGATTTTCTTCTTTTGATGGATGTAAACGAGTGGATGAGTTACGAATGTTCAGATGAGGGTATATACACTCAGAACATTCATATATTATACAATCACTCATCTATTCATTCACATCCGTCATAAGAAGACACACTTGAAATCGCAGCAAAAATTGAAAGTGTAATTAAGGGGGAGAGGGGGAGGGGCGTAATGTCAACCTCCACCCACCCCTGGACACACTTTTTGTCATTTGATTTTATTCCCGTTACACTTTCAGTTTTTATTTTGCTCTTACTTTCAGTTTTTTTTTTGCTCTTTTGAAAACATGCGGAAGTTTATAATCATGAACATTTACAAGGGACTTCTGATATGCGGAAGCCACGTCACTGAACTTCGTTGGGGATATGTGTGAGTTGTTTTTTTTAACAAAAAAAGTATATCAGTTCAAACCACGCCTTGATAACGAAGTATTTGTTTTGAAGCTTATCTGTACGAGCCAACCGTAATGGCAAGTTTAATGAGAAAATGCTTGCACTCTATTTTGATATCCATCAAATTTTTTTTTGTGGCATTTCGGGCAAAGATTTGATACTGATTGTCACATTTTAATATTTCACAATTGCATTTGGCAGTCTTTTGGCGACAAAGCTTGCTAATGTAGGTTCCTCACAACATGCTTTGCAAAAAAAACCGCTGCTTGCCTTATATCGTTTCTATTAAACGCTACACTGTTTAATAACAGTTTGTAATTTCACTTGTTTGTTAACTTGGCCCGCAATTTGCTAGTCACTTCGGGATTACTTTCGTACTTGGCGTAGATGCACCCAGTAGAGGTCGATGATTGTAAACTATACACGATAGACTTGACGTAATTACTTCAATGTTATTTATATACATACGTATCCAAGAGCAGAGGCAATATGGAAAAGACTCGAACTACTTAGATGGGAGGTGGAGAACGTTTTCGTGATAAATCTAAAATGAACAAAAATAAAATATATTATTTGTAGAGACACCCCTAATCAGCACCTTACACCATCTCCCACCCCCAACGGCACTTTGAACACCAACAAAAGTTCAAAGAAATATGTATGTAATAGCAATTAAACACATCACAAAACCAAAACATACACAGTAACATCAGTTAGCGCCCCTCCCCCCAAATATAAGCCCCACCCCGTGTCCACCATATTCACAAACGCTCAAGGCCATTCCGAATATAAGCCCCACCGTGTACAAGGCCATGGGCTTAATATTGGGCAGGTATTTATTAACGCAACGACCGGGATGCCAACAGCTCAGACGTATGACGATAATTACATTTATACAGTGATATATACTGTATGTTTATATTTCTTTCCATTCACAGTATAATTCAAAAATATTATTATTAACATCAAATATCCTCCATATAGAAGCCCCCCCCATAAGCCCATCAAAAAATGCTCACGAGCTAAGGTTTACGGTATGTTAAACTTTAAACAATTTTCCCACTGAGTATTTTTAGAGGTTTTTCGATCTTATAGCGTGAGTGTAAATAATGATGAGGTAATAGAATGTCAAGATTTCGCTCAGAGATAGACAGAACGTGCTCATTATACTCACATCTATTAGGGTTGGTCAATTACTTGATGAATGTTACTGAAAAAATCTGATCACAGAGATAGGACTGAATTTTTTTAATGATTACAATATTTTGCGCTATAAATCTTTTTCTGTGATCATCAAACCATAATGCCATCACTAATTCAGCGATTCAAGTAATTCATTCTGTAGCTCAATTATCCTTCAATTAGCCATTTCCCAAAGTCCTGGGTCTTGTCGTGCAAATCCCATGTTGGAGGGACAAGAAATATGGCAGCACACATTTAAATTAAAAGTTTAATGTAAAAAGGAGATATTTCATTTTTGGTCGTCTAAAAATAATTGATAGTATAGATACTTCTACTCTTTCACATATTGACGCCTGTCGCCATATATTTTGTCCCTCCAAACGATCCCAGAATGCACTGTGATCTCTTTTGGGAAAAGGCTAATTATCACACAACTGCATGTAATGCTGATAAAAGTCCGTTTTAATACAGCTATATCTTTCTACTAGAAATACTTCATCAGTGTATATGCCCCTCAGACTGCAACGTATATAAGCCATAGATATCTTATATACACTAGATAGTGCATCTAATTATTCTGCAATTCAAAAATTGAAACCGTGATTGCAGACTCAGGATATGAAATGAAATGAGAAGAAATGAAATGAGAAGACTCGTATGTTTTCTATTTCTTAAACAGGAAACTTAAACATTAAGAAAAAAACCTATTCCAAATACATTTTCAAACTATTCAAATGATGAAAGTTATTGTTGTTTTTTAAGCGTTTATTAGCGAGTGGGAAACCTCAACATGGCCGCCATCTATTCAAATGGGGGTAACCGCTGGAATATTCTTGATATCTACGATATAAGCTTGCCTTTATGTTATTTTGAAAAATGGAACAGCATTTCACAATAGGCGCGCCATGTTATTATTATCAACCGGAAATAATTAAAAACTCTTCACAGCTAAATCAATCTTAAGGAAGCCAATTAAAAATAGGGAAGTTAATGCATATACAATTCGAGATTAAATTTATCACAAATACACAGGCTAGCTGGGTAATGTGTCAGTGATAATAAACGTTTCATTGTTGGCTAGCTGCGATGCCATTGTTTCGCTTATCTAATAATTTTCTCTCTCAAATGGAGTGCAATAATTACTTGTTATTAATAGATCGTTTCTTTCGTTAGCTTCTCAGTGTGAAAATCTATATTTTTCAGTTCAAATCTAGTAGCACCCATTTGGTGATATTATAGATTTATTACAGGAGGAAACCAAAGGAAAGTTGAATTAAACTAGCTTTATTTATACTGGATAGCTCCATCACTTCTAAACTGTTCTTCCTAGAGGTTCAGTAAGGATCATGTCTAATTGATCCAGTGTTACTACAGGATGAAACCTAAACTAAACTAACTTTATTTATACTGGATAGCTCTATCAGTTCTAAACTGTTCTTCCTAGAGGTCCAGTAAGGATCATCTCTTATTGATCCAGTGTTACTACAGGAGGGAACCTAAACTAAACTAACTTTATTTATACTGGATAGCTCTATCAGTTCTAAACTGTTCTTCCTAGAGGTCCAGTAAGGATCATCTCTAATTGATCCAGTGTTACTACAGGAGGAAACCTAAACTAAACTAAATCACAGTAACTGTATTTATACTGGATATAGCTCTATCAGTTTTAAACTGTTCCCCCTGGAGGTCACTGAAGAATCATCTCTCATTGATCGAGTAATAGGAGGAAACCTAAACTAAACTAACTTAATAACTGACTGGATAGCTCTATCAGTTGTAAACTGTTCTCCCTATAGAGGCCCAGTAAGGATCATCTCGTATTTATCCAGTGTTACTAGGAGAAAATCTAAACTAAACTAACTTTATAATATACTGGATAGCTCTATCAGTTCTAAACTGTTCAGTCTGTTCTCCCTAGAGTTCCAGTAAGGATAATCGCTTATTGATCCAGCTTTACCACAGGAGGAGACCGGGTCATCTGGAGAAAACCTGTCCTGTGATCTTTGGTAGTGTCAATCTGGAAGCATTCTTCTCGCGTCATGTGTCCGAGATGAAATTATAATCAGACAACTGCAAATTACAGGAAACGAACCCCGCATGGTCACAGAGATGAAAGTCTGTGTGTGTTTGTCTGTCAGCGAGATAACTTTGGTTCAATTTGGATGAAAATTGGATTAGAAATTAGCAACAGTCTGTCTTGCTTTGCAGGTGGAGGCATACTGTCTCCCAGTGCCTTGTATAGTTCACACAGGCGGCGCAAACTTGCAAGGGTCAGCATAGCATAGTAATGTATATTATAGTAACAATATGTCATAAAATATATACTTTAAAATGAAATTTACTTGCCTATTTGATAGTGTGTGTTCTCCTTTTTATTTATTCCTGACCGCGTAGCTCAGTTGGCAGAGCATTGGGATAATATTCCAAAGGTCGTAGGTTCGATTCCCACCGTGGCCAGGCATATTTTTCAAGCTTGCCCGGTGAGGATGTACACTCAGAGTAACATCACAAACATCATATTCACTTGAGTAGTACATAACAGCAACACAGAAAAAAATATTCCTCTTTTGTTGGACTAATATAGTCCGAGACTTTGCACTCGATGTATTATTTAGAGCACAGTGAACCAATTTTCAAAGATTTAAATATCCTAGACATTTTCAAAATCAATGACTATTTAACTGCCTTATTTATGTTTCGATATCACCACCTTAACAATTTACCAGATTTCTTTAAAAATGATTTTGTAACAAACAACCAAATTCATGAACATAACACGAGAAATGCATCAAAACTTCACAAATGTTATAAAAGAACAAATTATGTAAAACACACTCTCTCAAATAAAGGAGTTGATGTATGGAATTCGTTAGAAACAAAACTTAATGAAGTAAACTCCTATAACACCTTTAAAAAGAAAATTAAACAACATTTTTTGCTATACACAATTACCAATATATAAAACATACTTCTCTAATGTATATAATGACATATACTTTAGTCTATTGTAGCCCAACATTGTCATTGTAAAATTAAATGCATCTACAACATTACTATCAATTTTTATAATACGACCATTCCCACTTCTTTTTCTCTCTTGTAAATATAGTATATATACTTCAAAACTTTCTGATTTTACATATTATGTATTGATTGACTGTAAATAATCGATTATGTGATAAAACGAACAGTAACTAGAGACCTAAAATAAAAAGTCTATGAAGATTTCTAGTAGGTCTCTAGCCCAACATCTTCAAATTACTGTAATATATTTTAAGTAGATTTTTATACATGGGAAAATAAAAATAAATAAATACTGTACTACATATAGTAGCGGGAATGATGTTAGTCCACAAAGTCTCGGAAAATATTAGTCCAACAAAGGAGGAATAAAAGGAGAACACACACTATCAAATAGGCAAGTAAATTTCATTTTAAAATATATATTCTATGACACCAGTATTTTTACTATAATATACATTACTATACTGACCCTTGCAAGATTGGGCCGCCTGCATGTGTAGTTAACAACTATAAATCATGACTCACCTGAATATTCTTGCTTGGAGTCGACTGAACACGCAGACTGCACGTGTATCAATAAATACGTATCTCAGTTTCATAGTGAGTTTCCACAGGACCTGACGCCAGCAAGGTACCATTTGGTTTGAAACAACATGTATGAATTTCCTCTGTATTACACTGTGCGGGAAGAATAGATAATAATAATATATTTATTCCATTACACCATTACTGGTACATAGGATATGATACAATATAACAGACACATACAAACAATAAAACTATAGCTAATCCTTAATTACAAACAGTACAGACAGTCAGAGAAAATCTTAGTTAACTCGTAAATGTTTCTGGCTGCACAATTTGTTAAGGTTACAGGACACCCTTTTTGGCGTTTTGCGGAAAACTGCTAATGCGCGCTCAATATTAGTCCGATTTTAATCAAAGTTTCACCAAATGTTCGCCAGTGCATGCAAAATATGGTAAAGTTGTAAAATTAATTAACAAACAATAAAATAATGTAAGAATTATTCAGGAAAATCTTAAATCGCGGTACCGTTACGCTTTTGAGTTGTGCTCCTGCTGGTTTTAAGTTATATTTATGAAAATATCATTTTTATACAGTAAAATAGTTGTTCTAAAAAATTGTGTTCGGAAATTTTTGTTTATTTCGTCATTCCGCTGATATGGCGATTTCTTTGACGACTGCAATATATTTCTGAATTGTTTGAGCGAATTGTCTTTATTATTAAAATATACAAAATTTAAAAAAAGCCGAATACAATTTTGAAACTGACGTCTTTAGCTATGTCCTGTGAAAATTTGAGAAAAATTGGTTAAAACCCGCAGGAGCACAACTCGTTTGAAAATCAGTAATTACCGTAAAATTTTTCGGGAGAAAATTGAATTTGAATATTACATTTTCAATGTTTTTCTTATTGCAGCGAAATGTATTTAATTAAATAACTCTGCGAGTTTTCAACATTTTTCGTTCAAACTTGGTCAGATAGTAGAACTTTCATGGAAACCAATAAAAAAATTTTAGGCAAAATTAACACTCAAAGGTGTTCTGTAACCTTAAACTCTTGTCATTCATGGATAAGAGTTTAACAAATTGTACAGCCAGATACATTTACGAGTATACATTTAGATACATTTAGATGATTGAATCAAAGGAAATCAGCCTCCTAAAGAGTAAAGGTTGTTGAGGCTAGCGAGTAGCGCGGTTAAATAAAGTTTGTATGTTTTTATGTATAGGCAATTTTTGCCGTAGAGCCTTTTGTGAAGATGAAATTCGAGAACTTTTTCAGGAATTTCAAGGACGTTTTTCAAGTAAATTCAAGAACTTAAAACTGGCGAAAAATCTTTGAAAATGACACGAATATTGTTTTTGAAACACTGCTATTTATTCAAAATCAGTAGTCCAAATAATGTTCAAGTAGTACTTTCCAGGACATTGTGTAAAGAGTCTTGCCCACAACTTGGGATGTAGTAGCAATATAAGATGGCTCCTAACGTATCTGGAATTATGTTGCAAGTTGTAGCAAAAATTGCCTCGTATGTCCTTAAATATTAAGGTGGCTCCCTACAGTTGTAAAGAAACAGTAGCAAAAAATAAGGTCATCACAATGACGCAAAGGGAGCCACCTTAATCCAATTAATTAATCAGTTAACAGTTTGTTAAAACGTTACAATACCTCGAGTTCTTTTATACAATTGCCTTCATTTACATCCCAAACACGAACCTAAGACAACATGATGAATTTTGTGAAAAATTAGTTCAAAAATTGACAACACAATAATGTACCTGCACGCATAGGCAGCATAGCAGCATGTACAAGGCACAGGGTAAAAGCTTACAACGTCTAACAACGTTATCTTGTGCCCTGTGGTTCCAATTTTCTGGGGCCGGTTGTATAAAAACGTAGTTAGCGCTAACTGTAGTTAGCGCTAATCACTGCAGTTAAATCCTTAACTGTAATTAGTTAACTACATGACTTAACTGCGTTGCACAAAACGTAGTTAGTCGGATAGTTAACTAATCACGCAGTTAACTGTGCGTGGGGCGTTTAAACACAAAATTACATAAAGTAAGCAGCGAATAACGACCGCTGACACACATTTTCAACATGATTGTGGACTCGTATTTTGCAAATAGGCGGGAATTTTATTAAAAACACTAGAAAACAGTGAAAAATATACAAGAAAACAAGGAAAAACCGCCACAAAAATCATAAAAGAATGCAGTTTTTCCTTGAGATGCCTACGTTAAACCAAGGTATAGCTGTTTGGCAATCATATATCAGTGTTTCTTGGTGTAATGGACCATACTTCGTCTTCGAGAAATCGTCCTGTGCAAAAATATGTTCTGTTTTCGTAAAAACACCAAAGCGATAGCGTTTGAAGAGTTTATATTGTCAGGAAACATTCACAGGGAAGATAGCGATTGAAAATCTCAGGTAACCATTTCTTTTCATTGTTGTTTTACTGAAAAATGTTGTTCACTCCTATACAAACGCCATTTTTAACTACGTTTTGGACAGTTAACTATACCCTAAAGCATACTTTTTAACTGCAGTTAAGGCTAACTACACTTTTATACAACCGGCTTAACTACGTGATTAAAGTTAACTATTTTTTAAGGCTTTTTAACTACTTTTTAACTGCAGTTAGCGCTAACTACGTTTTTATACAACCGGCCCCAGATCAACAGTACGTAGCATTCCTTGAAGGCAGGGGCGGAGCGAAGACTATCCTTTTCGGGGGGGTGCAAGACAACTTTTTGCCGACAAAAGGGCGTGGCTAGCACGTTGTTAGGGCGTGGTCAAAACGAACCGTATTCATTTTTAAGTGATGTACAACGATGAAATCCGAATAGTAAGATAATTTATTTTTAAAATAGGCGAAATAGTTCCTTAAAATACATGGTATAAATTTCAAAAAAGCACATCCAATCGTCATCAAACGACCAATTACAAACTAAACACGTCAGTTTCTCTCTCTTCCGTTTGCGTTTTTGCTTGCTACTGTCCATACTTTTAAATCATCTTCGTCTTTCTCATTGTATATAAGACCGTTAGGTGTAATTTCTAAGACTTTTACTGGCTTTACAAAATTATGAAATGAAGCGCAGACGCATCGATCAATAGTCAACACGCACATGTGCTTCGAGTTTCCTATGGTATCATATTTCACAAAATTGCAAGAAAATATAATACTATTAAATAGCGTATTAGCGTAATAAGTTCTTGGCCAATTTGGCGACATATCCATCTTTTCGATCTCGCATTTTCTACAAATTTTCTACAAACAATCTCTCTCCAATCAGGTATTGCCTATTGGCTTGATCCAATTCATTTTGCCGACAACTGATTTATTGTGCCCCTGCTTGAAGCAGACTCTAATGCTTTTTTCAATGTGGTTATCACTGCTTTACATGCCAGACCTTATTTTCCCCCCGCTTTTTTGAAAGTTGCTTGCTTTACTGATAAAAAGGCATCATTGTCACAGTTAGTGTATTGTAACGGTGTTCATGCCCATTGTTGACCAATGTAAAGCAAAAAAAATTTTCAATTTGAATTAGTCAAGAATTTTATTTTATTCAATTTTCAAGAATTCTACTGTACTTACTGTTTGGTCATCGGCTGCGGACACCAGTGTATTACCGTCAGGAGAGAATGTACAAGCCTTTAAAAACAAAGAAAAATTAACTACCGGTACATATATTATTATATAATTATTACACAGGGAATGTATGATAGAGTACCTGTATCCATCCGGTATGTCCTCTCAAAATGATGTTCATAGATTTTGTGTTGATATCCCACAATATTATGGACAAATCCCATGAAGCAGATGCCTGAAAGAATATGTATTAACCCTTAAGTTGCATTGTGCCAATATTTTACTCTGTCTAAATGCCAAACGACTTTACTCATCAGGGGGGGGGGCCTGGGGCGTTCAATGAATAAATTAAGATTTTTATCATAAGTCGATCATTGCAACTATTTTGCTTCAATTTAAATTCCAGCACAGAAAATGGTTTTCCCAAATAGGATAAATATGAAATTTTAAACCTGCTTAAGGAGAAAATACATTCATCATTCCATCCCAATTTTACAGCTATTGAGTGGCAGAATTACAGGTATTCTCGATCCCCTTGACGAGTAAAATCGTCTGGCGTTATAAAGACTAAATTAATAAAGTAGGGCACATCAGGATGCATTGCCAGTTAAAGGGTTAATTAATAGCAAGGGTCACAAGTATATTAAATGTGTGGTTAAATTCTAATATGTTGCAACCTCTTATACTGCCCTATTCTATATAATTCTATCATTTAATTGTGCTCCACCTACCAAAAGACCTTGGCATGAAAATGAAACAGCTTTCACATTGCTTTTATGCCCTTGCAGAACATGACATGACGGGTTGGTTTGGTCGTGTTTAGAAACCAACGATAAATCTAATGACCACAATCGCACAGAACAATCCCATGAGCCCGATGCCTATTTGTAATAAATTTAACACATGTTCAGAATAATGACCATGGCTGCAAGGTGTTGGTTGTATGTACTGTGTACTGTTCCTGCAATACACAGTTATCTGAGAAAATGCATGTTTCTATAATGTGACTCACTCTAACTAACACGTACTGTACAGTACCACAGGTTTTCTTTGGCCACTCTGGTTTCTTATATATTGTAATAAATAATGTAGTAACTTAACTAAGGGATATGTCAGTAACCCTTACTTGACCTCTAGGAAGAACAGTTTAGAACTGATAAAGCTATCCAGTATAATGAAAGTTAGTTTAGTTTAGGTTTCCTCCTGTAGTAACACTGGATCAACAA